CTACTACACCATCTACCTGCCACATTTTATAGTAGATTTGTAGTAATAAATGCTTATCTATTGATCTGACGCCACTTTTTCAGTAATATGTGTTGCTTCTTGAGGGCAGAATCTATTTTATTTTTGCCTTTGTATACTCAACACCTAGCTTGGTGCCTTTCACACAGTAGGCACAGTGGGCACTTAATTAGTGTTGAATTAAATTGAATGTCCTTTCTTTCCTCTTCCAAACCCCAATCTGCCCACCCCCATTTCAGATCACAAGAGTACATTTGGAAGAGGGGAGCCTTACAAAGGAAAGAAAACCATACAAATTCAGAAATATGACACCTAGGTAAATAATTAGAAATACACATAAGCATCAGCCTCAGAGAGGCATTCATCCCGTACTTTATCCCAGATATGGGATAAGGTATGGGGCATTTTATCTAGTTACTAGTCTCTGGATCTAACTTTAGTCATTAATCTCTCTAGTGCTAAAATGGCTGGATCCCACATGGACCCCAAAGAAAGTGGTGAATTTGGCCTAAAAGTTCTCTCCACCAATTTAGGATTCACCTGCTTAGATGAATGGGAACCAGATCATTGGCCTACTTGACAAAGCCAAGATCTTTCTTAGTCAATCAATAAACTTCATTATCAAGGGTAGTAAATTCAACCATTTGGGTTTAGCTAACTAGCATCTTACCTACTTCCAAAAGAGGAGAGGGTATATAGAGCTTTATAACGGAATACATCATTCAAATTTTCCCCATTATCTCAGAAACAGAATTGTTTCTTCAGATGTATTTTAAGAGCACACAAGGACAAATCAGTCCCTCACAAATTATAAGAATTGTAAGTAGTGTGGGTCAACAGGGCACCCAAATTAAGAGTATCATATTCCTCTTCTTCTCCCTTCCCCTAGAGTTCTCCCCAACATTGTTCTTACTGTATCCCAAGATCAAAGGAAATAACTGCTAATTTGCCCCCACCCCTTCTTACACCAGCAGTGTCCTCCATTTGCCACGTCCCATCCAACTCCTTCTGAGAGCCATTACCTGCACTACTGCAGTATAGACTCAACTGGTTCTCTGGGGGATAGGCTGCTTGTCCTCACAGCATAAATGAATTGTAGATTCTCCGATTTTGAAGAGAACTTAAAATCATCTACTCCCATAAATGCCCAAATTACGACTGAAAGGATAGTAGTACTCTCACCAGAAGTAGGGAAAATTGGAGGTTTGGGGGGGAAACAATGAATTTCATTTTGGAAGTGTTTGGTTTGAGATGCCTACTGAACAAGCAGAGAAGATATTCAACAAGTAGCTGATGATGAATGCCTGGAATTCAAGAGGGAGGTTAGGGCTGGATATATAAATGTGGTAGTCATCTGCATAGAGATGATTCTAGAACAGATGACAGCTGACAAAAACTCCAAGAAAGAGAGTGTAGAGAGAAAAAGAGAAGAGGACCCAGGGCAGAGTGCTAAAGAACACTCCATGCTAAAACAGCAAAAGACGGATGGATGTTAAACCAAGAAGCTGAGGACTGGTTAGACAGGTAGGAGGAGAACATGGAGAGAACAGTCATAGAAGCCAAAAGGAGGAGTGTCCAGAAAGAGGGGATGAGGGATGGGGATGAATCAGCAGTGCCAAACATTGCAGAAAAGTTCACAAGAGTGAGAACGGAGAAAAGACATTGGATTTAGCAGTTAAAAGGTTATTAGTTTACCTCAGAGATGATTAGTTACCTGAGTCTCAATAGGCTGGTGATGTAAAACAGATTACAAGGGATTGAGAAGTGATTGGGTGATAAGGAAGTAGAGAAAGGGAACACAGAGAATTCCTTCTAGGAGTTTGGTAGAGAGAGGAAAGAGAGACACAGAGTTATAATAGCTTGAAGAGGGATGGCAAGGACAAAAAAGAGTTTTTTTTTTTAAAGGATGGAGTAAATCTGAGAATGATCGTAGACAGTGGAGAAGGAACCAATACAGAGGGAGAAATTGAAAAGAGAAGGAAATTCCTTTGAGAGGGGATGATGGCCAATGGAGAATAGAATCCCTAGAGAAGATGGGAAAATATTGCACCTAGGGCACAGAGGTTAGAGGGATTGGGCAAGAAGGAGGACTTTCTTTTCTTTTCTTCTGAGCCACGCATAAAGGAGGACTGGATAGGTAAAGATGTAAAGGGGTTTCCAGGTATAGGATAAGAAGAGGGAGTTCATAACAGATGGACTCTATTTTTTTCAGTAAAGCAGGAGATAAGAATATCTGTTGAGGGAAAATATAGAACAAATTAGGGGGGACTCAGGAGAAAGGAGAAATATAGCATGGGTTCCACACCACCCTGTAATCCCATGTTATCCAGATTTAGGTTGGATGTTTGGGGTAATCCATTATGCAAATATGCCCCAAGTTCCCATCCAGGGCATTCTCTATCAATAAACCTAGAATCAAACAGGATTCCAGGATCAAATAGAGACCAGACAGCAATGAAAATAGCAAGAGAAAATGTCCCTATCTCCTTCAGATTCCCAGTGACAATCAAGTCAAGAAGTATTTATTAAGCATGTATTATGTGCCAGCACTGTGCTACTGCCAGTGGGGAAGGGCACTTTTCCTGGATCACTCATATACTCAGGGCTAGGACACAATTCTCTGTTCAACAGGTTTTTTTGCCCTGTTGCTGTTTCTATTCTGTCTCCAGAGCTGCTGGCTGTACCTTTGCCAAACTGCTATTGCTATTTGGTTTTTTCTCTGCTGAGTGGCTACCATCTCTATATCTGAATTTTTAATTTTTTAAAACTTGATATTACTAAAAATGTTTTATAGATTCTACGGTTGCTTCTTTGATCATGGCTTCTTCTTTAAAGAAATTGGACTTCTTCGAAGTTATTGAAATTTTTTTGTTCAATAACTTTTGTGAAACTGCTCCATCAATGTACCCGGGGCTAACTAACACATCTTTAGCTATTAAGTTAGTTAGGTCTTTCTGTAGCCTTAAAAACTTCTGGTTTTTCTAGCCTAGTCTTTCTTTGTCTAACAAATTATCTATTCCTTAGTCATGGCCCATCCACCTGCCTGGCATCTCCTCCTTGTCCTGCACCTTCTCTGGAAATTTTCCTTCCCCTTTCCCCCACCCCATAAACTGGAAACGTCTATACTTGGGAACAATCTAGGCTTAGACATTCCCAGTTTTCCAGTTAATTGGTATTTCCCTGTCCATAATTCCCAAAATGGGAACCCATTCAGAGTTTTCTGAGTAGCTCTGACAAAATCCTTCATGACACCCAGCTGATCTAGGAGCTGCTCTGACTCCAGAGCTTAGTGACATGCCCCAAAGCCTTAGACCACTGTGAACTCCTATCTACCACAGCCTGAAGATCATTGTGACTGAGATCACATTTCTGGGCTTCCCTGACATGCTTTGGAAGTTAGTCCCTACTACAGTGTGAGGGAAAATGTACTAATGTGGTTGTGAGGTCCTCCTGTGGTCCTGACCCCTTTGTAAAAGGTGGGCAGTGGGTCACTGAGCTACCCTAATATCTTTCCCTCATTGTCACTGCCTCCTGCTCCCCTGAATGTCTCTAGTGAAACTTCTCATCCTTCTTTTTGGGGCCTTCACTTAAACACACAAAAATAAGGACCTCATACTCTCAACACTGACTTTCTCATCTAATTCTATTGCAAAAGCCCTTTTAGATCCAGAAAGAGACTCTGACAAGTCCACAGTCACATGAAGCTAGCATGTTAAGAGGGTGCCTCCAAAAATTTTTTTTTATTAATTTATTTTGATTTATCAACAATCACTTCCTTAAGCTTTTGAGTTTTAAATTTTTCTCCCCCTGCCACCCCAAGAGGGTGCAAAATCTGATATAGGCTATACATATACATTCCTATTAAACATATTTTCACATTATTCATGTTATAAGAAAGAATTCAAACCAATAGAAGGAACCACAAGAAAGAGGAAACCAAACAAAACATAAAAAGAGCAAATAGTATGTTTCGATCTGCATTCAAACTCCGTAGTTCTTTCTTTGAATGTAGAGAGCATTTTCCATCATGAGACTTTTGGAGATGTCCTAGATCCTTGCATTGCTGAGCAGGGCTAAGTCTATCAATATTAGTGGCTGTTATTGAAAAAAAAATGTTTTTCTAATTGCATTTAACCCTTGATATTTAGCTTCCATCATTTCCTTGGCAGCATTACCATAAAAAACACAATGAAGCTTTTATAAACTTCACATAACTTTTATAGCCCACACTGAAGCTTTCATGCAGGGTAGCTATCAGTAGCGGAAAGGGTGCAGCAGCTTGGACTTCGCCCTACACTCTTGCTCTGTCGAAATCCCTGTCACTCTGCTTGGAAAGGTAAAACCGCCCTTGAAGGGAGCGAGATGAAGAGTGAGTCAAAGAAGAATGAGGGCTTGCTGTGCACAAATGAGTTCAGATCCCAAAAATCGGTGAAGGGGGGTGACTTCCTCCTGAACTTCAGTTATCTAGGACCAGACAAGGGAGGCAGTGGGGAAGCTTCGGGACTGCAACCTGGGAACGGCCGTAGGACCAGTGGGTGGAGGACTTCGCAGGGAGGAACACCTCCCGTTCGCTATGGAGCAGAGTGCATTGTAGTTCAAATTCAAGGATTAGATTGGATTAGACTAGAAAAGACTGAGGCCGGAATTTTCTGCTAACGTGTCTCCGCCTCCCAGAGCCGTACACGCCCCTCAATCCCAGCCATTTAGCTCCCTTTCCCTCCAATGTCCCGAGAATGGGCCAATCCGGGGAGGCGGGGCCTTGAGGATCCGCCCTTTCCCAATTGGTGGAAAGTGGACGTACCATAACGTGAGACGACGGCGGTGGGGGGAGCTGGGTGACGCTGGCTGGGCTCCCGGGCCGGTGGAGGCGGTGCGAGCTGCGGCGACCCCGCGTAGTCGGCTTCCCAACCCCGCCCCCACCCCCACCTCCTATCCCGTGGTCCCGCGGCTTTTCGCGTGCGCGCGCGTGCGCGGTACCTCGCCTATCCTCGCCCGGCGCCGGCTTGCGCTGCCAGAAGCTGCTTCCTCCCCTAGGGACCACTCTTCTTCGTCCCGTAGTTCTCCCCGCTCCTCCGTCCCGGGACCGCCGGGATGCAGTGGACAAACAGCTCGCGTGCCTTGCGACTGGCCGTGGGGCTGGCCGTCGTGGCGGTGCTGGTGCAGGGCATCCGCATCTGGCTGGACTCCAAGAGCTTCGTCTTCCAGCGCGAGGAGATCGCGCAGCTGGCGCGCCAGTACGCAGGTGAGCGCGGGCGGGGGTAGGAGGCGGGGTGCCCCGCACCGGGCACTCTGCACCTAGGTCGGGGCGGGGGTGGTGAAGGAGCAGGAGGGCGCCTGCAAAGGGGCCCCCCTCTTGGGGCACCGCTGAGACTCGTCCTCCCAGGAAAAAGAGTGTGAACGTGGGAATCAGGGAGAGGAGCAGCAGCCCCCGGCTGCACCGGGGCAACCTGTGCCACCGAGGGAGGCTTGGGCTTAGGGAAGGAGCCGCGTGTGTCCTACGAGGATCCGGAGTCCCTTTCCCATCCCCCACCCCGGGGGTGCGGCGCTTTGGAGGAGGCTGTGACCCATTGGCTTCCTAGTGTCGGGAGGCAGCATCTTAGCAGGTCCGAGGATTCAGAAGTTGGAAGGGACCCAAAGGGCCGTTTAGTCCATACCCCTCATTTTACAGCTAGAGGAAACTGAGGCCTAGAGAGATGCAGTAATTTGCTGAAGGTCACACAGGTAGGCAGGGACCGATCTGGTGCCAGAAGCCAGGTCTCCGACAGCTAGGTGACACAGGTAGTAGACTCCGAGGAAGGAAGACCTGAGTGTGAATACTGCTGTATGAACCAGGACTATTCACTTTTAACTTCTTTGTAAAATGAGGAAGTTGGAATCTATGGGCTACTCGCTGGAGTCATCGCTAGTGAGTGATGCTTGTATGTCAGCTCAAGTCCCAGTGTGTAGGAAGAAAACTGGGGTCCATGATGCTCATGGGAAGGTGGAAGTCCTCCTATGTGCCAAGCACTATGCTAAGACCTATCACAGAGATTAAGTGACTTGCCTAGGATCATACTGCTAAGTGGCTGAGACAGGATTTTTTTTTAAGGCATTTGGGGTTAAGTGACTTGCCTAGGGTCACACAGCTAGTAAGTGTCAAGTGTTTGGTCTGAGGCTGGATTTGAACTCAGGTCCTCTTGACTTCAAGACCGGTGCTCTTTCCACTGTGCCACCTAGCTGCCCCTGAGACAGGATTTTAACATACCTTCCTGACCCCAGTACACTATCCACTTCACCACCTAGCCTTTAGGGTTATGTAAGAGTCCAGTAAGAAGGGGTTCTTAACCTGGGGACCATGAACTTGCTGTTTCTGTTTTTTACATTTTAATAATGGAATTTCAATATAATTGGCCTTCTTTGTAATCCTCCTTATTTTATTTTGTACATTTAAAAATATTTTGAGAAGTCTATAGGTTTCACCAGACTAGGGATGCATAGGGTGCATTGTAAAAGAAAGGTAAAGAACCCTTGATACAGAATCAGAGGTCTTAGAAACCCCTCACAGCTCTGTTGTTACCTGTATGACTGTAGCTAAGTCCCTTGAACTTGTAAAATGAAGAGTTTGGACTAAATGGTCTCTAGGTCCCTTCCAGTACAAAAATAATTCGATCTGCTACACACACACACACACACACACACACATACACACAGTCTCTCTCTCCCTCCCTCCTCTGAGGGGCACAAACTCCTCTCCTCAAAGTTACTGAGGTTTGGAAGGAGAGATGCCCTCTCTTTGGCATTTGTAAAATAAGGGAATTGAATTAGATCATTTCTTTGGTCCTTTCTCATTCCAAATCTTGGATTATTCCTATATGTATACCTTGGGTTGGGAAGAGATCCTGACCTTCCAGGAGTTATGTGTGTCCTGGAAGAAAAAGGGTATTTGGAGTTAGATGTAGGGGGTGGTCAGGGTCTATTCTTGCCCTCCCCACCCCATCCTGCCATCAGGGCAAGTGTAGACTCTGGGCCAGGGGAATCTGAGTCTGACGTTTGGGAAGGTGGGGCTAGTCAGACCCCTGATCCCCCTGCTTATCCCCATCACCATACCAGGCCTTGATCACGAGCTGGCTTTCTCTCGCCTCATTGTGGAGCTCCGGCGGCTGCACCCTGGCCACATCCTGGCAGATGAGGACCTGCAGTGGATATTTGTGAACGCCGGCGGGTGGATGGGCTCCATGTGCATCTTGCATGCTTCACTCTCCGAGTACGTGCTGCTCTTCGGCACAGCCATCGACACTGGGGGCCACTCTGGTCAGTTTGGACCTTGTTTAGGGGAGGAGGGGGCTGGACACAGGGGTAGTGGAGGGAGGCCACAAACCATCAGTAGTTGCTGCTGTGGTGAACCTGAGAGGAGATGGGCAAGGGAGAGGAATGATGGACCCTGCCCTTTTTTCTGCCCAGATCCATAATTTTCAGGGAGGACCTATGTTACCTCACTATTTTTCTTCATCCATCTCCTCCCTTCCCTGTGTCTGTCCCAAGCATGGACAATATTAGAAGCACACCCAGCTGATCTGCTTCTTCTCTCCCTTCAGGACGATACTGGGTTGAAATCTCAGATACAGTCATCTCTGGGACCTTCCGCCAGTGGAGAGAGGGGACAACCAAGAGTGAAGTTTACTACCCAGGTGTGTGAGGGCAGACGGATCAGCATTGATTGCTGGAGGAGAAGGCAGTCTGCATTGGGTTGGTGATAAGTATAGTTTGGAGATAATTAAGATGAAAAGGCTTGGGGGGTTAAGATGAAAAGACCTTGGAGGTTAGGATGAGAATATTGGTGGGGAAAGGAAGTGGTTCTGATTTCAGGGGAGCACTATCCTGCCCCCTGCCACCTTTCTGTCTTCCCTCTGCCCTTCACTCTTCTGTCCTCTTCACCTCTAGGAGACACCATTGTTCACAGGCCTGGGGAGGCCACAGCAGTGCAGTGGGGGGCTGGCACGTGGATGGTGGAGTACGGCCGGGGCTTCATCCCTTCCACATTGGGCTTTGCACTGGCCGACACATTCTTCAGCACCCAGGACTTTTTCACACTCTTCTACACTTTCCGGGTCTATGCCCGGGCACTGTGTCTGGAGCTCACCACCTACCTCTCCAGCCAGGGACATTGACACCCCTTTCCCTGCCCAGAATTGATGAGGGTACCTGAGTCAGTGTGAGATTGAGATGGTCAGACTCTCATGAACACAGAGACAGGCCAGACCCTCAGCAGATTTGTATTCGGGCACACACTTAAACACAGGGATACAGACACAGTATAGGGGGTTTGGGTCTTCAATGAACCTAAATCTACTTCCTGGGCAGCAGTCTGGGGGAGTAGTGGAGGTGTTGTTCCTGAGTGTGCCCTAGCCCCCAGTTTGGAACTGTGATACCTCCCACACTCACCCTCACCAGACGCCTTATATGTCTAGCTCCCTGTCTTGGCTATGCAAAGGGGACCAGTGGCCTGTTCTCTACCCCCTACCCTTTCCCCCTCCCCCAATATCTCCTCTCCTCCTGCCTTCCAGGTGGGTGCTGCCAATCATGTGATTTTCCTCTCCTTCCATTGTGGACTCCCCCAAACCCCTTTACCTTTCTTTTCAGAGCCCTTGAGGGGTTGGGACCCAAAGTGCTAACCAACAAAAACTTGATCTGTCTCCCAGGCTATGTGACTGACTCGGGGGAAGGCAGAGAAGGGGCTGAGCCTTTTCATTAAAGGGAATTCTGATTGAACGTTCCACAAGGTGAACATCCCCTCCGGGGCTCTATGTTAGAGATATATCAATGAGCAGGTCTCTCCTGGGTGCACCCCATCCTCTTTGTACCCAGCATGGAGACAGAAGGGAGCTCACAGGTAGATTAAGAACCTACAACCCACCAGGACAACCAAGGACTGATTAATTGTTAGATTTCAGAGTCCTTACTATAGGATGAATAGAAGTTCAGAGAACCCTAGAACTCTAAGGGACCTTGAAAATTCAGCTCATCTGACCTTGCTTTGTCCTGGGGACACCACAGCTAGAGAACTGGTGACTTGCCCGTTTTAATGTATATACACCAAACGGTATTAGTACACATGGAGTCACGTGGTTCAGGGTCAAAGCAGCCGAAAGAGGATAGTTCGTTGTGGACTTGGGAAATCAGGGTGGGGCTCCTGGTGCACAAGGGACTGATAGGGAAGGCAGGAGGAACTCCAGCCACCTCCCCACCCCTCCATACTCCCTCTACAAAGAAGAGATAGTTGCAAAGCATCTGGTGTCCTGTGTACCTTCACGGATGTGATTTACAGATGGGAAATGGAGTGGCAAAATCCAGTTCAGATGATATTAATGCCAAACATTTTATCTAGTGCTTAAAGACTTGCAAAATGCTTTCCTCAGTATTCCTGTCAGGTAGGTAGCATAAGTACAAAGTGTCCCAAAAATTTTAGCGTGGTTTTAAGCTATTGTAGTTTCAAAGCGCATGAAGATTTTTGAGACACTTTGTATTATCTCCATTTTTCAGATGAAACAGGTTCAGACATGAAATGACTTTTATCTTTGGGCACCCAGCTAGTAAGTATCCACCACTTTACTGAGGTCCCAATCCAGGTCTTCTGACTCAGAGTCTGGTGCTGTATTTGAATCCTCCCACTGAGCAACAAGGCTTCCCTTTGGCTTTCCCCACCCTTTTCCTTAGGACAATTGGGCTTCCCTCTCCAATCATTAGGAAATAAGGAATCCTAGAGTTACTCTTCCTTTGGACCTGGTCTCCTTGGGCCACCACCTCAGGATGGTGGAGTGCAGTCTTTCCTCCAAGATTCTTAGGGATTCACAGGTCTTTGGCTTCAGCTGTTAATCTGAAGGAGGGTGGTATCAGAGGACCCCTCAGATCCTTCCTACTGCCCGTAACAAAGCAGCTTCTCCCCAGAATCCCTCTGTGTTGCTGTCTGTGTCAATAAATATTTCTTGAATATCTGTCTTATCTCTTTCTCTTAGGGAAAGCATCATGGTGGGCTGGAATAAACAATAAGTTAACAACTGTGAGACCTGTAGTCCTTCTGCCTTCAGGCCCTTGGCCTGACTGTAGTCAAGTCGTTACAGCTCTAAGGGTTTCAACTGTTGTTGGTCCTTCATTTTTGAAAACCAATAACATCACAAGGGTGATGTCTTGACTTGTGCATGAATTAGACTTAAGTGAGGCAGAGTTACTTAAATTTGTCCGGCTCGCTTTCTTCTAGAATCATGGAAGCCCCGTGGCTAGACAAATTTCAAGGTGACTGGTAATGGTTGGTTGGGGATGCAGTGGCCTTTCTAAATCAAGGTTACCCAAGCTTCAGTTTGTCTGAAGCTATGCCCATTCTATGACTAAGGGCTAGGCAAGATTTGAGACAGAAGATGGCCTAACCACAAAAGTGTCAGTCTGGGAGGGAGAGACTAAAGTTTTTTGTTCTGTTTTGTTTTGTTTTTTGGTGAGGCAATTGGGGTTAAGTGACTTCCTCAGAGTTACACACCTGGTGTCAAGTGTCTGAGGCTGGATTTTAAAGTTTCTTTCAATAACAGAAAGGAACTTCTATTTACACTCCTTCTAAGCCATCAAAAGCTGAACAATGAGTTGTAAAGGATTGGTTTTGTTTATTTGTGACTGACTCTGCCTGACCCTGTTTGGAGTTTTCTTGGCAAGGATACTGAAGTAGTTTGCCATTGCCTTCTCCAGCTTATTTTACAAATGAGGAAACTGAGTTAAGTGACTTGCCCAGAGTCATACAGCTAGTAAGTGTTTGAGGCTGGATTTGAACTCGGGAAGATGAGTCTTCCTGACTCCAAGCTTAGCACTCTTATCTACTAACCCACCTAGCTGCCCCCATAGAGCCTTAGGCTGCGGGTTATTATTGGCCATTCAATGAAAGCCAGAGTGATTTGGGTTTAAAGGTGTTGTCCAGTAGTTCCATTTGGAACCCAGTGGGTCAGTCGAGAGAAAATGTACTGAAGCAGCACAGGACGAAAAATAAATTGTCCCAGCTTTCAGAAGAAGGAAAAAAACCTAGCACCCAAACCCCAAAATGTCTTAGAAAATACAAGCAACCAAAAATTATATCCATACAGAGCAACCACATGTAAAGATATGGTGCCCCAAGTGGAGAGAGGGGCAGCATGTGTTGGGGGGGCTGTAGTTGTGTGTGGCTGCAAGGAATGCAGAACAAACATCTTTATCCTCTTCTCCAACAGAAACTTTCGTTCCTGTTAGGGGATTTTTTCAGAGCTAGTTCAGGAGGTCTGCAAGCTCTCAGTTCTTCCTGGGTAGCACAGTCTGAGGAGAGGTGTGGTCACCTCTCCAATTCCTCCAATCCTAAAGTGCTACGAGTTCTCTTTTTCCCTCCAGCCCTTTTTTCATCCGACCAGAGATGCCTATCTATACTCACAGTGGGCAAAGTCTGGATGGGATTTCCAACCATGGCCTGTAGTGACAAAATCTGGCCAAGAGGTGGCAGTGTGCACCTCAGAGGAAAGAGGCCCAGGCCTTTTGTCCCACTGCCCACTCTGGGCACCCTGTTCACATTTCCCATTAACCATCTCCTGACAAGTGTTGTTCATCTTCCAAATGAATACTTCCACTTCACTGGCTCAGAAGGTAACCTCATTCCATTCTCAGACAAGTTGGAGTAGGGGATAGCCTTAATGAGCAGAAACCTGAATCCCTGCAACTTTTATTAGACTGAAATTTAATTGTGCTTCCACAAGAAAACTTTAAATCCCTGGAGACAGCTGTCATGCCCTACTCATATCCCCTCTACCAGTAGTCCCACTGGTCTTCTCCTGGTTCATCATCCCCACCCCTTTACCAAAAAACTCCTTCAGGTATAACTGAATTTGTCTTTATCTCTGTTAAGTTTAATGCAATGGAAAAAATTAGTGAATTTTTAATCCTAGAGCCTTGTGTTCACATCCACCTGTGTCATTTACTGTATGTCTTGGAGCACATCATTTTTCCTCTTGTTCTGTTTTCCAATTTTAAAATTAGAGGGTTGGAGTAGATAATCCTATAAGTCTCTAACTTTTTAAAAATTTATTTTTATTTTTAATAATATTTTATTTTCTCCCAATTACATGTAAAAACAATTTTTAATATTTGTTGTATTTTTTTTTTTAAGTTTTGAGTTCCAAATTCTATCCCTCCCTACCCCCTATCCCCTTCCTGAGACAATAAGCAATCTGAGACAGGTTATGCATGTGCAGTCATGTAAAATATTAACATATTAGTCATTTTGTGGAAGAAAACTAAAAAAGAAAGAGAATAAGTGAAAAAAAAGTATGCTTCATTCAGACTCTAGTTCTTTCTCTGGTGGTGAATACCATTTTTTTATCATGTGTCCTTTGGAATTGTCTTGGATCATTGTATTGCTGAGAAGAGCTAACTTATTCACAGTTGATCATCACACAATGTTGCTGTTACTGTTACTGTATACATTGTTCCCCTGGTTCTGCTCACTTCACTCTATATCAGTTCATGTAAGTCTTTCCAGGTTTTTCTGAAATTATTCTGCTCAGCATTTCTTATAGCACAATAATATTCCATTATAATCATGTATATATAACCACAGCTTGTTCAGCCATTCCCCAATTGATGGACATCCCTTCAATTTCCAATTTTTTGCCACCACAAAAAGAACTGC